CCAGCAGTGGGGGGCAGTTGGGGGCAATCAGGCCGGCAGGGGGTGGCAGTTAGGGGTGATCAGGCCAGAAGAGGGGGCAGTTGGGGGCAATCAGGCCGGCAGGGGGTGGCAGTTAGGGGTGATCAGGCCAGAAGAGGGGGCAGTTGGGGGCAATCAGGCCGGCAGGGGGTGGCAGTTAGGGGTGATCAGGCCAGAAGAGGGGGCAGTTGGGGGCAATCAGGCCGGCAGGGGGTGGCAGTTAGGGGTGATCAGGCCAGAAGAGGGGGCAGTTGGGGGCAATCAGGCCGGCAGGGGGTGGCAGTTAGGGGTGATCAGGCCAGAAGAGGGGGCAGTTGGGGGCAATCAGGCCGGCAGGGGGTGGCAGTTAGGGGTGATCAGGCCAGAAGAGGGGGCAGTTGGGGGCAATCAGGCCGGCAGGGGGTGGCAGTTAGGGGTGATCAGGCCAGAAGAGGGGGCAGTTGGGGGCAATCAGGCCGGCAGGGGGTGGCAGTTAGGGGTGATCAGGCCAGAAGAGGGGGCAGTTGGGGGCAATCAGGCCGGCAGGGGGTGGCAGTTAGGGGTGATCAGGCCAGAAGAGGGGGCAGTTGGGGGCAATCAGGCCGGCAGGGGGTGGCAGTTAGGGGTGATCAGGCCAGAAGAGGGGGCAGTTGGGGGCAATCAGGCCGGCAGGGGGTGGCAGTTAGGGGTGATCAGGCCAGAAGAGGGGGCAGTTGGGGGCAATCAGGCCGGCAGGGGGTGGCAGTTAGGGGTGATCAGGCCAGAAGAGGGGGCAGTTGGGGGCAATCAGGCCGGCAGGGGGTGGCAGTTAGGGGTGATCAGGCCAGAAGAGGGGGCAGTTGGGGGCAATCAGGCCGGCAGGGGGTGGCAGTTAGGGGTGATCAGGCCAGAAGAGGGGGCAGTTGGGGGCAATCAGGCCGGCAGGCAGAGTGGTTAGGGGCGATCAGGCAGGCAGGCAGGCAGGTGAGCAGTTCGGAGCCAATGGTCCCGGATTGTGAAAGGAGTGTCCTACTGCCACCAAGGGGTCCCAGATTGGAGATGGTGCAGGCCGGGCTGAGGGACACCCTACTCCCCGTGCACAAATTTTGTGCACCGGCCACTAGTATGTATATAGAGAGCCAGGAACATATTTGTCTATTTTACTTTATTACTGTATCATTCCAAATACCAAGCTCAGGGTCTGACATGCTATGTGTTTAATAAACACTTCCTGAATAAGTGATCTTAATTCTGACTCTTACCTCAAGATCCAAGAGAAAATATATTGCTCCACTAGTCTCCATATCATCACTGTCTTGCCTGGGAAATTGTCTTAAATGGCAGGCTCAAACATCAAATATTTGAAAGATAATAGCTCATTAATACGTTAAGCGCCCAGTCACCAGTGACTGACACTATACTTCCTGTCCGGTAGACAAAACAGGCTGGGCGCTTAACGCGTTAATTACAAAAAAAGAACTGAACAAAATTATGAATATTTCCTTCCATAGGAGTTAAAGAGTTTTAATAAATTCATTAGTAGTACAAGCTCACAAATTCCTAATGGTGCATAAAGACATGAAGCCTCAGTCAGGCCTCATGGATGTAGAGAAGAGAATAATTCAACAAACTATGAAGATCAACTAGTACATTTAAGACATACTGATACTATCTATTCTTTCAGATCTAAAAAGGCTATTAGAATGGACTAATATCAGGTTTATATGTAGAAAAAATCAACAGAAACATCACCTAAGACAGTAATATATTACAAGGTGGAATCTAAATTTTAGTAGTATCCTTATAATAATCCTTATAATAATGTCACTAATTGTTACTGATGAAGAGCCTCCACACCTACAAAGAGGGTAGTGTGGTATAGAGTTAAGAATACATCTCTACCCTAAAGGCATATGCAATATGAAATTTACTGACCTTTACCCCATATTTTACTTTCCCGGCATAATGCTTTATGGTGAAAGCAGGCTCCATCACAGCTGGAAATTCAATGTAAGAATTCTCTTCATGTTGATGCTTAAATTTATCTAGCAATGTTTGATTTGTAGCCTGTGGAAAACTGAATTAAAAACAAAAGAAAGATGTTGCAGTGAATACAATCTTTTTAAAAAAAACACACACATTATAATTACACTGCCATCAAACACATTTAGCAAATTACAAAGAGTTTTTACTGGTATTATCTAATCTGATTTTCATAACAAGCTAAAAAGTGAGTGTAACAAGAAAAGTATTCCTATTTTATAGATGAGGGATCAAAAGTTGTGATTTGCCCAAACTCACACTTTGAAAGAAGTGGAACTGAGAAATAAACTCAGGTTCTTAAGTATTTAGCTTATGTTGCATTGTGCTGTACTACTATAAAACCGAACCTGCTTTGATCGCTGACCTGCTTTGATCGCTGACCCGATTTGATCGCTGACCTGCTTTGATAGCTGACCCCGCCCCTCCTTTTGCCATCACAGATCAAGGGGCTGCAGGCCAGCTGACACCCCAGTGTAATATGCTAATTAGACCAGACGTCCTTCTGGATATCCTTCCAGAGTAAGCTAGGGCTGCAGCTGCCATGGCTGCGAGGGAGGGATCCAGACAGCCACCCACAGCTGCAAAGGCCTACTCTTGCACGAATTTCATGCATCGGCCTCTAGTAGGATAATAAAAACTAAATCATATGTTGTTTGGAGCCAAGAATTTCCAAAAAGGAAATGATGTCACAATTTGGATAGGTCCTTTAAATCCACAGTAATTTTTGTTTTTCTTCATATATAAATTAAGCAGTAATTATCTTACCCATACCAATTACTACATATTTTTATATTATATCTATTATTTCAAATATATCAATGTTATTGTACTCACTGATGAGCATTTCATATCCAGGAATAATTCAAATAATATTTATTACCAATTAATTACATAACAGCAAATACAGGAATATAAAAGTTCAGAAGAGAAAAAAATCACTAGTCACTGGGAGTAATGAAAAGGTTCATATGAAAAAAAAAAGAAAGAAAAGGTCCATATGGGTATAGAAGGCAAGTATGAGCTAGATGTTAAAGGTTGGGTAGGAGTTGAAAACAGGAAATATCACTGATAGAGAAAGGAGAGAGCAAGTATCTTTCAGAGAATAGTTTCATTTAATAGTAGCTGAGATAATAAGAAATAATGTGACAAGAGGTTGTAAAGATGCTGAATATAAAATCTAACATGTAAAAACGATTCCAAAATTACAACAAAAATGATTAATGATGTAGTATGTATTGGAATCTGAAAGGAAAATGGCCTTTGGTGTCAGTCATAGTCATAGTATAGGTTACCAGTTGTCTGTGAACTTGGGCAAGCTAGGTAGATAACCTTCTTTAAGAATTGGTTTCCTAATCCATAAAATTAGTACAATGAGGTATCACAATGCAAGTAGGATTTTAAAAACCCGAGTAAAAACATCTAACACTTGCTGGCATCCTCTAGAGATGATATAAAAGTTATCTACTTTTTGTTGCCAACATTGCCATTTTCCTAGTCACCTAGGTATGCTTTCATATTCAAATACTATAATTTCTTCAAAACATCTGTACCCTAGCTCTTCCTTTCCATTTCAGAACTCTAAAGCCATTCTAGAATGGATTACAATCTTATAATTTCAAACAGCCTCAATAATAGTCTCAGTGATCCTAATCTTGTTTTAAGTCACCAAATCAAGATTCAAAATAAATTTTCCTACAATAGTGCTTTAATCATGTGCCTCCCTACTCAGGAAAATGTATGGATCACCAGGCACATACACGGAATCCAAGCTCCTAAGCCTAGACCAGTGGTCGGCAATCTGCGGCTCGCGAGCCACATGCGGCTCTTTGGCCCCTTCAGTGTGGCTTTTCCACAAAATACCGACTTCTGCGCATGGGCCATGAAGTTTCAATCACACTGTACATGCGCGCCCACACGTGGTATTTTGTGGAAGAGCCACACTCAAGGGGACAAAGAGCCGCATGTGGCTCGCGAGCCGCAGTTTGCCGACCACTGGCCTAGACCAACCCCAATCTCTGCAAACTTATGCCTCACGACTCCACAACAGAATGCTTCTCTTCAGGAAAGGTTTATTTATCTTCTAATCCATAGTAATCAAAATGCTTGTGATTTCTTTTTCTCCTACTTTTAAATGGAAGAAAGAAATATTCAAACAAAGGAGGACAGACATGAGAACAGTTTTTATTTCAAACAAGGAAAGATGGAAAGGAAAGCTCTCCACATATCCCATATTCAAGGAACATTTGTGGATACATATCAAGCAAAAAAGCCTGGAACAAAAAAATCAGACATTACTGTTCATTCCAAAGCTCTTCATCTAGTGTTCCCCCAAAGGCTATCTGCAAGGGTAGCTTCAGTGTTTCTATGCATATAGGAAGTACTTCTGAAACTTTCAAAAAAAAAAAAAAAAGAAATACCAACGCCCGGACCCCACTTGCTGTGGTTCTACAGAATTGAAGCTAGGTGGTGCCACATTAGTATTTTTTTTTACAAGTGCTCTTATGAGCAGGCAAGATTGACAACAGACTGTCCTAAATGAATGCTCTGATCTTAACTTCAGTTTGTTAAATCGGTGATTCTGATTCAAGAAGTCTAGGGTGAAAGTCTGAGATTCTGCATTTTTAATAAGCTTCAATATGCTGCCAGTGCTGCTGTCAGCAGATCACACTTTCAGTACTATAGGAAAGACTAATAACACTCCTAGCATCCTATTCCTACCTAACTTTGTTTACACTATTCCTCCTCTCTAGATTCCACACTGCATGAATCCCTTATAATCTAATTTTAAAAACTTGCCCAATGTCAAATAGCCATTAAATAGTGAGAAAAAATTAAAAAAGACTTCTGACTTCAAACCCAGGCACCTAAAGCACTACAAATACACTGAATGAAGAAGGAACACTGCTAAAGATATATTTCATGTTATATATTCACTATATAACAAAATATTTTTAGATTAAACTACTTAGTCTCAATGATTTCCAAAATGGTTCCCCCTACATCTGACTAACTTATTTTCAACCCTGCCTTAAAGATACATGGCAGAGGAAAAATATTTTATGCCTTTGCAACTTCTGGGATATTAAAGCATAGAGACAAAGGTAATAACAAAAATATAAATTGAAGTTTGTTAAAAATTTTTATGGAGGACTGAATATAGAAATATAATTGAAGGGACAACTATCAAGAGGTTATTCAGTTATCGCCTACATACAAACCCTTACAGATGATGCAAAATAATTATGAAGCAACTGCTAATCAGCCTAATAATTAGAAAGTTCTTCAATATATTGAGTCAAAATCTGTCTCCCTGTAATTTCTGGTCATGGCTTAACCTCACAAGCTTTTGGGCAAGAGCAAAGAGGTGACATTCTCCTCATTGGGCAATATTTATATTTATGTGAGGTTACACATGTCCAGGGTAACATAGTCTTTGTATAAAAGATGTGCACTCAATAAAATTTTGCTTAAAGAATGACAGGACAGACAAGACTCTTTTGCTCTACAATTATATATCAACTATCTCAACTGCCGTTCATAACCACATTAAGATATATATAGCAGATGCCCTGGCCGGTGTGGCTTAGTTGGTCGAGTGTGGTTCTGTGCATCAAAAGACTGCCAGTCCGATTCCCAGTCAGGGCACATGCCCAGGTTGTGGACTCAATCCCCAGTAGGGGGTGTGCAGGAAGCAGCCGATCAATGATCTTCTCTCATCATTGATATTTCTATCTCTCTCCCTCTCCCTTCCTTTCTGAAATCAATAAAAATATAAAAATTTTTAAAATACCAGGAAGGTTTAAATCTTCAGTCCACCATTTACTACCTATATGACCTGTTTCTCAAATTGCTTAACGTTTTTGGTTCTTTTTATTACAAAAAATGCTTATCATTTCAATATCAACCATAATGGTTGTCAACAATTAATATCATAACTAGCTATGGGATTCCAAGATGGTGACCTGGAGGATGGCAGTGAGGGGGAGAGTGTGAGTGGCTGAGGGTGCGAAAGGGAAGAGTGTGGACATGTGGTGTGTGTGTGTGTGTGTTTGTGTCTGAGGAAGGGAAAGCTAGATCTCGCAGGACCTTTGGGGGCTGGCGGATCAGGCTCGCCTAGCCAGGCAGCCTCTGCTAGTGCAGTAATCTCTCCCGGAGCACCAACTCTGCCGCAGAAGCTGAGCCATCTTGAAGGGGAGAGATGTGGTGACTGGGAGCCTAGCCTCACCTCCACCCAGGGTGCCCTCAGATACCACCCAGGAACCTACAGCCACACCAGCCAGGGAACTGCTGCCTCAGCTGCAAACTCACGAACACCCAGACTTTAGCCTCCCCAGCTGAGGGCTACTGTGAGTTCTGGAGTGTGCTCCCCTCCTGCCAGCCAGATGCTTTAGCCCCGGGCACCACACCAAGCCAGCAGCCATGTGAAAAGAGCCACCATCCGGGAACATGCACGGAGCAAGCAGCCGCTGCCCGTAACCCCTCGAGGAGCAGCCACCACCCACGACCGCCTGAGGAGCAGGCCTCATCCCATGACCACGAGAGGAGCAGCTGCCACTTGTGACCATGTGACCCGCCACCAGGACCTCCGCTGCAATCACAAGCCCTGTGCGATTTGACTCCTAGATCCTTCAGTGAGAGCAAAAATGGGGAGACAGGAGAACAACCCCCAAAGGGAAGAAAAGAGGAATCACCAAAGGAACTAAATGAAAGTGACAATGCAATATGTCAGAAGAAGAATTCAGAATAAGGGTCATAGAGTTCATAAACCAGATAGATGAGAAAATCAACAACCTATGTAAGAATCAAGAAGAAATATAGAGTGATAATAGCTACAATAAAATAACACTATGGAAGCTTTGAACAGTAGACTAGGAGAAGCATAGGACCAAATTAGTGAATTAGAAGAAAGGGATGCAAAACGCACCCAATCTGAACTGCAACTGGAGAAAAAAATCAAAAGACAGAAGGAGAACCTGAGGGAGTTTTGGGACAACATGAAATGAAGCAACATATGTATAAAAGGGGTGCCAGAAT